ACACCCGAAGAACAATTTAATGCACCCCGGATTGCCACCGACACGGTTCATGGGAGGGACGGGGGGGAACGAAGGCTCTTTCCCTCTCTCCCTCTATCGGAGTGTCTGTCTTTCTCTGTCTGTGGCTTGTTTTACTATTTCCATGGTCTGTCTCTGTCTCTGAAATGTGTGTCTCTTATCTCCGATCTCTCTGTGCCTGGCGTCTGTGTACTTGTCTGGTCTGCCAGTCTCTGTCTCGCTCTTTCTCTACCTCTGTTGGTGTGTCTGTCTTTCTCTGCCTGTGACTTGTCTGCCTATCTCCTTGGCTTGTCTCTTATCTGTATCTCTCTGCTGCTTGTCTGTGGACCTGTCTGGTCTGCCTCTCTCTTGCCTCTTTCTACCGCTCCGTTCCTCTCTGTCTCTGTGCCTGCCCCCATCTCGCTCACTGTTTATCTCCCATCTCTGTCTCTGCCGCTACCCCTCCGCTCGCTCAACTCACCCATCAAACGTCCCGAGGTCGACCCTCGACAGACATGTCCCGCAAGCACCAAGGAGGTACAGCCTAAACCGCGCCTCGTGCTCCTCGAAGCCGATGGCGTCGAGCGCCGTCGCCTCCCTCAGGGTGGAAAGCCTCGCCTTGCACTTTTCGTGCAGGACCAGGAGGCTCTCCCTCCCGGCGGTGTGGGGCACGGCTGCGCAGAGACCCCTCAGGTACGCGTAAAACGCCTCCAAATTGTCTTGGCGGGAAGAGGCCAGCACCGCCATTTGGTTCCACACCTGGAGGGGGGGGTTCGTTGTGCCAACGGAGGGGGGGGGGGAGTCGCAATTCTGCTTGCCGTCGTTTAGTATCGACCGAAGACTTGCGAGCCGAGACGAAGCTATCGAGCTTTAAGGGCTAGAGGGGGGAGCAGAGTAATCTTGAAGGGAAACGAAGAGCGCGTGTGTTCACGAGCACGAAAGGCCGTGGGTGCGCGACAAAGGTAGGGCAGAAACCTTTGCCATCAAACCCCCGCCACATCAGCAGTGGCTAGAGCCCGAACGCCCACATGTGAGCCATGCCCGGGTGAGTCTTCTTGAGCTATACGACGGACGGCGAGAACCCGACCGCCCGCGGGGGGGTCGGTCCTCTTTCCCATCACAGCTGCCCAATACCAAACGCCAGCCTCCTCCGCTACACCCGCCCCCCCCC